ACTGAATTACAAACATATTTGATAATTCTGCACCAGTACAGCAAACGCAACACTCTTAACATCTAAGCAAGTCGACTGCAGGTTTTAATCACAACAACAGGCATTTCCTATTTATTACATTTAGGCCCTGAAGCATGAGAGAGTCAAATCAGAAGATAATCTTCCAACTACAGCAACATCTTTGTGTAACGGCAGTTTTCCTGCTGGCATCCAGGTGTCACCTGTCAAAGCGTCGAGTTCGTGACACAAACTAAACCAGACGACATCAGACTGGCAACAGAAACAAGTTAAAGTAAGAAACACAGAGACAGTGAGAGAAAACGGGGTAGCAGATACGTTTATTCCCACTCAGCATAATTAAAGCTGGAGAGCGAGCAGACAGGCCATATTTACATATAAAAACAACCGACCTCGTGCTCTTGAAATAACTTCCCATCATCCCTGAGCCATGACCGCCCGTTTTATTTAACCAGTCAAGCAGGAAATGAGAGTCATATCTAAGCCTCATCATCAAATCTGGCAGCACAGACACAACCTGTCATGCCTTCTGATTCCACTTCTCACAATATTTTCATAAAAATACAGCAATGAATTTATTCATGAAGAATAGTAAATTCAATTAGATCCAGTATTGTGTTTCTTTATCTCTGTGAAAAGAGTCAGAGCAAAACTTCAGTTGTTACAGCTAGAAACAAGAGATCAGGCCTGAAATCTGGATGTAGTGATGGACCTGAACCTTCAGAGCCACTTTAAGATAGTTACAAAGTCGGCCTTCTATCACCTGAAGAACGTCTCCGAGATTAGAGGACTTATGTCTCAACGAGATCAAGAGAAACTCATCTATGCATTTATCTTTAGTCGCATTGATTACTGCAACAGCGTCTTCAGAGGTCTGAATAAAAAATCAATCAGATCCAGAACGCTGCTGCTGGGGTTCTGACTAAAACCAGGAAGATGGAGCACATCACCCAGTTCTAACGTCCTTCCACTGTAGCTCAGAGAACAGACTTTAAAATACTGCTGGTAGTTTATAAATCACTGCTGTTGCCATAGCAACCTTCCAGACCTCTCAGGTCTACTAGTTCTGGTTCCACTTGCATCCCAAGAACCAGAACCAAACATGGAGAAGCAGCATTCAGCTTCACAAATCTGAAACAAACTTCCAGAGTTTCTTTCTAAACATAATCAATGAACATTGATTAAAGGGGCAGTATTACGTGTTTTACAGCCACATGGCAACATTTGATAGCGCAGTTACTAAGTTACTGTTAGTTGTCCTTCAACAGCGTTTTTACCAGCGTTGCACTGAGAAGTAGCTCCTATAATGAGCTCAGCTGCTGCACAGGGTAACACTTCATTTGAAGGGGTGTGCATAAGACTGACATGACACTGTCATAAACAAAGAAGTCTTTATGAATGTTTATGACAGTTGTCATGAAGTGTCATTCTGTAAATAATGACACTTTTAATACTAAGTTGCTCTAAAAGTTGCATTAAAAGTCTATTAAAAATGCCAACTTTGCATGATTTTGTAAATTATGATAATTTAATGCAAAGTTGCCATTTTAAATAGACTTCCAACGAAACTTTTAGAGCAACTTTGCATTAAAAGTGTCATTATTTACCGAATGACACTTCATGACAACTGTCATAAACATTCATAAAGACTTCTTGTTTATGACAGTGTCATGTCAGTCTTATGCACACCCCTTCAAATGAAGAGTTACCCTGCACAGTTATACCAGGTGTTTGCTAATTGCTGCTGGCTAGTCTGAAGGAGGGCAGGAGGTTCATCTTTGAAGGCGGATACTGCCCCTTTAATACATTTGATGCGTAATGCTAACTGATTTTTAAGATGACATTTTAAATGTAAGTTCATTGCTAGTTTCATACATAGTGGCTTTATGACGTTTTTACAACGTAAAGTACTCGTTCCTGAAGCCTCCAACCTTGACTCCATAAATCAAGATTCAGAATGTTTCACTCAGTGGTTGTCGGTGGCGGTACCTGAGTGCGACGGGCTGCAGCGCCTGCGAGGCCAGCCTCTCAAACATCCGCTGCAGCGGAGGGTGCAGCGGATGGTCTTCATCGCTGAGCGCCTGGCTGCAGCGCTGCAGCAGCCGCTGGTGGAGGCAAGCCTCACACAACACCTGCTGGTTCCGCTCGCTGTTCACCAGCAGCTGCAGGATGTTGGCAACGGCGAGCTGGAGGTCGAGGGCATGCTGGAGGAGAAGGTTGAGGTCAGACGTCGGGAGCTGAAGGAAACGCCGTCACCTCCAGGTGCGTACGGTCAGTTTTCTCACCTCGGGTTGGCTCTCGGAGGAGACGGAGGGCAGCAGGTCCAACATGGCCAGAACGGCCCCAGGGTGGATGACCACCATGTCGGACGAAGATGAGAAGGAGGCAGGGTGTGACGGGTTCACCAGGTGGAGTTTGAGGTCCGTCAGGGCTTTGACTGGGGCGGAAGAACCCGACGTGCTGTAGTAACCGTGCCTGGGGGCAGAAACAAAACGAGATATTAGAAGATTTAAAGGAAACCTTCACCTCTAATTCCACATTTTTATTAGTAATATCATAATTACTATTTAATTTTCTTCTTTTTTTCTATTTTTTTTATCTACTATGAAACAGGACACTGGGTCTTTTATAAAAGCTTCAGTTGAACTGATTGGTTAATTATCTGCTCTCATTTTAAACATTTCCCCACCTTTCTCCCTTTTTGTTTTTAGGCTCAGTGTCTATTATCTCATCCTACCAAGGCTTGGCTATCCACCTAAAATCCAAGCAAAATACAATAAAAATGGTGGTTGTAACAAAAGTTGCACTAATTCATCAAGGCATTGTAATTTATTTTTATTTATCCATCCTTCATTTAGGCATCAAGCTTTGAGAATAACAGCTACTCCAAGCATAATTTTAAAAAGCCTACAATTCTGTCTGTAATGATTAAACTGTGTATAACATGAGTCAGGAGTTTTCACACCAACTCATCCAGAGTAACAGGGTGGGGAGGAGGAAATCTGCAGGGCTGTGACGTCAAACAGATAGGAAAAAAAAAGAAAACAAAATTACAGAGCAGCAAATTCCTGCCTGAGGAGACAAGAGCCAGCAGAGAGTGTGAGGCAGGAAGCTTTTACCATGTGTCAGTTATTATCCGCTACCACAATAAAAACACCCAACCTTACTGTTTATTTTTTAAACAAAATGTCTATGTTTTGAATAAACATAATTTTGGTAATTCTAACTTGCCTAAAACAGAAGAAGTTTGTCAAGATGAAAAGTGCAGGGGACAAACAAAATCTTTCAGAGGGGGGCAAATGGACAGATATAGGACAGGGGTGTACAAAGTGCGGCTTGCAGGAAGCTGCACTTTGGACACCCCTTTGGACTATATCTTGCTGAAAAGTTACTATAATTTAGTTTTGTCTCATTTCAAGTCTATTAAGATATTTTAACTAGAAATTAAATCAAAATCACTTGGTAAGATTTTGTGTTTTTGCAGTGTATAATGCAAAACCACTGCATTATACACTGCAGTGTATAATGCAGAATAAATAAAAAAGACATTTTGTTTTTTTATTTCTGTCCTACTACTGGAGAAAAGGCTTAAAACCGGCAGCACAGCTGAAATTGCTCTAGCAACAACAGACAGGAAATGGAGAGGAAGAGGAAGGGGTGAGGAAGAAGGCAGAAAGCTGTAGCTACCTCTTTCTGGCGAGTGCGGGCGTACCCCACGGTGAGGGCAGCGAGGTTTCATGAGTCAGGCATGGAGGCACCTGCTCTGCACGACTGCATGACCACAGGTGACACGCACACACACACGGAGAGGAGCACAGGTTCACACACACATTTATGTGCAGCCGTGCAGGCAGCCCAGACCGAGGATGAGGAGCCAGTCAGCACCAATGTTAGAGGAAGAAAGGAGAAAGAGAGAAAAGAAGGAAAGAAGCTGTTAGTTGAGAAAAGCTCCAGTTTGGAGAATGTGGACTCAGATCTGAACACGGAGTTTCAGGTGAGTGTAGAAATGACAGAAAGGAAGATGAAAGGACAGAAACTAGACTTCTTGAAAGCTTCAGCTTTGCTTGGGGTTTCTTGATAAGTTTGCTAACTTATCGCAGCAGCAAATGAGCTTCTGGTCGGTGAGCAAACAGAAGAGCAGCACGACTGAGCAGAACAGAAAAACTGGAGCGGCTTCACGCTGACGTGAACTTAACTGAGAAACTAAATATCTACCTCTGCAAAGCCTGAGCAGTTCAAATGATATATTTTTTGTTTTATAAACAACAATGTTATGAAGCCATTTAATATAATGGTAATGGCAAAACAATGCAAGAGCACAAAGATCAATAAATCTTAAATTTTAGTGAACATTTAACTGGAAGTAATTTTAAATATTCAAAATAAATAAACAAAACAACAAAAATAACAAATATAGTGAATTATAAAGTCTCTCTAAATAAAATTGTCCTTCAAAAAAAGGAGCAAAGCGCCAGACAGAAGAGTTTTATCGTCCAGTTTTTGGTAGAAAGAGAGAAAAGAGAAAAATGACAAATCATGCAAATAGAAATTACTGAGGTTGTTTTAATTTTTTCATGCGATTAATTGATTCATTGCTTATTTGAAACCAATGATAGAAGGGACACTTTAGCTATGTTTGTGTTGGTATTGTGTTGTTTGTGTGGTTTATGGGTTTCCACAGTTCGCCCACCTGTCGAAAGAGTCGGTGGCCATCTTGTAGAGGTAAATGAAGAGCTTGCTGCAGTGTTTGAGCGTGGGACAGACGCTGTCTCCAGCGCAGCCTGCGGAGGACGTCTCGTCCTCCAGCAGCCTCTGGAAGGGCTGAGCGTTGGACGGGAACACTCCGGTTGGGCCCAGCTTCCTCGTGTCAGAGAAACAACCCAGCAGCCTGGAGGAGGGAACGCCAAAAAGCTCAAAAGATTCACACCGCAAAAACACAAAAATATTACCAGGTCATTTTGGTCTAGTGCAAATATCCTATAACACTTGAAGTAACTTTTCAGCAAGAAATATGAGCTTGTTTTAAGTCAATAGTGCCTTAATTATTGACTTAAAACAGCCAATCCAGAACGCTGCTGCTGGCATTCTGACTAAAACCAGGAAGATGGTCCTAGAACTGGACCACTTGGTGAAATTTTGTATTTTTTCCATGTAAAAGTAAAAATATATTCCAGCTGTTTCTCGTTTGTTACCTCACAGCATCGGCCAACTTCTCGTACTGGATTTCGGTGCGGAAGAAGTGCGAGTTGGCCGGCTCGTAGCGCATGGCGGCGGTTAGAGTGCAGAAGACGGTGTGCAGGAGCTCGAAGACCTGGTTCTGGTTGACCCGCTCCCAGCCGTGCCGCGGCGGCTGGCACAGCGAGCGCTCCATGGCCACCAGGAGGGAGGTGATGTACACGAAGCCGCCCACCTTGCGAAACACCGTGCGGGTGCGGTGACTCTCGCGCAGCACGGCCAACAACGCCTGGAGACGGAAAACACAGATCCATCAGGCAACATCAAAATATTACAGGTAAAAGTAAATGAATACATGTTAAAGTATTCAAAATGAAGTTAAAGAGAAAGCAACTGTGTGTTGTACTGAAGAAGATTTTAATTTGTTGGTAAAATGAAAAAAAAAAATGAGGCCATTAATGGTGTGACTACTGGTATTAACTTCTTATTTTCTATAACACAGAAAATTATTCCTGGATCAGTCGGTTGTAGCAAACAGCTGCTCATACTGAGCTGCGTTCTGGTTCTGCTATTAAAGGGGAGTTTCTCCTCTCCACTGTCGCCACATGCATGCTCAGTATGAAGGATGGCTGCAAAGTTAACAACGACTCAAGCAAATGCCGACTGTCCGGGAGGAGTGGACGCTGCACGTTATTAACCGGATGCAATCTGCTGGGTTTCCTTAGGCAGAAAACTTTTTAACTTCACTGCATTATTTAGTAACTAGGATCAATTTGGACTGAAATGAATTTTCTTAATTAATTGGATTTTAAAAATGGAAAATTCTACTGATTTTTCATTTAACTATCTGTGCCTTTTTTATAAAATAATAGAAATACATTAAAAGATGCAAACAATTAAATAGCTTTTTTTAATTAAAAAGCTAAAGAGTTTATTGCCTAAAATGCATTACATAGTAAAAGGAATGCTTCTATGCCACTTGATGCGTTTGGTTTTCATCTTAAATGCAAAATGTCTGCATTTTTGTACATTATTGACATAATTACTGTTCTGAATATGGTTTTTTGACCACTCCAATTATTAATCTATCATTATATTATTTGACGATTATTTTAATAACTGATTAGTCATGATTTCACCGATTAATCGTTTCAGTCGAAGCGTTCATACAGTCAGGAATCATGCAAAAAGTCAAACGTGAAACTCGTTCTGTTTATTGTCGCCTATGGCAACCATGAATTGAATGTCTGACTGAAGCTACAGAGCAGAGGAATAGCATGCGCCAGTAACAAAGAAGAAGTAAAACCAGCCAGCTGTTTCCTGCTGCATTAACAAAGTCCTGCTAGTGTCAGCACAAAGTTTTATTAAACCAATCACAGGATGTTGGAGACGTCTTCCTCTAACTTCACACTGGGAAAGCTGTGCACTAAAAGTCTGAGTGTGGGGCATTAATTTCACACGCAATGTGGAAGATTAATGCAACAAACCCCTGATAGATTCTTCTCACCTGTAAAACATGAAATGAGGGCTTTCACAGGGCTGAGCCGAAGATTTATACGAATTCTCTGTTACGGTGCACAAATAAAAGGCATATTTAAATCTCCTTGCAGTTTCTTTTTATGGTGATAATTAAAATCCATGATTAGTGAAATTGAAGTAAAATGCTGACAAGTTAATCCAGGCGAAGCCCTCGGAAGGCATGGGATTTACTTCATCTGCAGGGGGAAGGAGTTTAAAAATGCAATTATGCCTGAGAAAATGAGCCGGCCTCTCATCCTGCCAGTGTGTGAAAGTGTGTGTACGGTTCCAGCTTTTATGTGCGCCTAACTCTCAGAGATCCTGCTTTAAACCAATTACTGTGTGCAGCGCTACAAATGCATATTGATTTTTAAAATCACTCCCTTTCGTGTCTGGACGTTCTTACCAGGATTTACTGACAAGCTTTTGGAGGTGCAGACTTTGTTTCTGCTCGATTCCTCCTGACTGTATAATAATTAAATTATAGAAACAGCCTAAAAATCAAAACTGGAATGAAGACAAACAGTTGAAAGCAGACGCTGCTCTAGAAGTAATTTTGGTTTAGTTTCTAGTGCAAATATCTTAGTAAACTGGAAATAAGAAAAATGAACTTCTAAAAAACTTTCCAGCAAAATATAAAAGTTTAATACTGATGAAAAAGTTCTATTTCCATTGGTAGATTATTTCACTTATGAAAAAACATTTTTCTCATGATTTAAGCCAAATAATCTGCCAATGAAAGTTAGTTTTGTCTTAACTAGAAACTAAACCAAAATTACTTTGTAAGATTTTGTGTTTTTGCAGTGCATGACTTGGGTCAAAGATTTTTGATATTCCTTTATATTCTCACAAAAGTTTGCTTAAATTTTGGCCCATTTCTCACAACAGAATTGGTGTAATTGAGTCAGATTTGTAGGTTGTATTGTTTACAAATACCAGTTTAAGAATTACTAACTAACTGAGATCAGGCCTTTGTGATGGACAGAGGCAAGTTAAGTACCCAAAAATTATGCTCAAGTGAAAGTAGCTCTACTTCAATTACTTAACTATTTGGTAAAAAGTGTACTAAAGTACTGAGTAACTGATTAAATTATCAATCATTTAATATTTAAAAATTACATCATTAGATGGAGCTAAATATAAAGTTCAGTATAAAGTTTTGTACTTTAAGGAAACAAAATGACAATAATTTGCATAAGTAACAAAAAACAACAAAATCAGGCAAAGGAAAATGTTTCCAAATCAGTTTCTTTCTTTCAATAAAAAAAAAAAACTTATGAAACTTTAGCAGTGTGTCTGTGTCTGGTGATTTTTTTGTTTAAAACATATTTTACTCAAGTAAGAGTAAAAATACTTCATAATAAAATGACTCAGGTAAGAAGTAAAAAGTACAATGTCGTAAAAATACATTTTTTCAAAAAGGTTGCTGAAGCAAATGTAATTGAGTAAATGTAACTAGTTCCTACTGAACTCCGTTTGTGTTTGTTACCCGCAGTATGTCGGTCTTCAGCTGCAGCTCGCTGGACGGCGCCGAGTGCATGAGGCCCAGCAGCGTTCCCATGTCGTCGTCGCCGCTGGGCGACAACACGAGCTGCTGGATGATGAGCAGGGCGTGTTCCCGGCACTGGCGGTACTTCACAATGTTGTGGACGCAGCGAGCGCCGCCGAACTCTCTGAACAGAGCTGAGAACGAGAGGGGGAAAAAAGAATTTTAAAAATCTCAGTCCTTGCAAATAAAATGTTCAATCCACCTGCTTTCTACAGTTTTAGCAGCTGTGATGTCATCACATGATCAAAACAAAGTTATCTTTTGAGGCTCACTTATTATAATATTGGTGATCCATATCAGTCGATAGATAATTAGCTAAAGATTTTCCTCTGCCTACATTTCCCAGAATGCTCTGCAGTTTTGGATTGGAGTTCAGTGAATATCCTATATATTGAATATTCTATCAGACTTACTGTGTATTGATATTGACTACGTGTTTATTGCGATATATATTGTTATTAATATTGTCCAGACCTCTGCTCGATATCAGCTTAACTAAAGCGTGACTAATATTTTTAGCTCAATTTGAATTTGTTTAAACTGAAATGTACACAGCTTTAAAAAGCAGCAAAGGTGCCTCAACGCTGCTGGTTCTGAATTAGTTTATGTTCAAACTAAATTTGTAGAAGAATATGTCAAGTTAGCTAAAAAAAAAAAAAAAAACGGTATCACTTCTAATATGCCAACAATGCTTTACTTGAGTGATTTTTATTAAAATAAATAAGCTAGTTTTTATCTATATCTATTGCAAATTTTCAATAAATTTTTGAGTTTAATTTTAAATAATGTAAAATTATATTTAATATATACATACTCGAAATGTTGCATTATATGGTTTAATTCATTTATTTATATTAAATAAAGAGATTAACGCCGCCTCAAATTCAATGAGCATAAATCAGATTATTATGATTTTTTTAACCCAAACATCAACACCTCTTCTGTTTCTAACTATCCTACAGCGAGCTCCTTGATTTTTCTTTCGTCCATCCAAATGTCAAACACTTGTTTCGATTCTCCGTCACGTCACAGTGGCAGCTAAACGCTCCAGGTGCGTAATGCAAATGTAATCAGAGTGAAGAGCTCCTGATGTCTCCCACATCATGACTTCCTCTAACGACGACAAACAGTCATCATCCAGGTCACAGAGAGCAGAGCTGCAGGATGGTTAGTCTGGTGACTCACCCAGTTGCTCCAGCAGACTGAGTCACACACACACACACACACACACACACACACACACACACACACACACACACACACACACACACACACACAGATACGCAAACAGAAGGTGTGAGTGAAACCAGCTCTTCAGATTTAACAGATTGTAGAAAAATCTTCTCTGATCTCAGTCATCTGGGTTTGTTGGGAGGTCAAAGCTGAGACATTCGTGGTCTGATAGAAATTAACGACAAGCTGAACAGAACTGCTCTGTGGGGGATGAGGGGAAATAAACAAATGGGAGATTATTTGCAGGGTTAATTAAACACAACAGCTAGTGAGTTTATCAGTCTGAGCCAAAGACGCAAAGACAAACATCCATCCATCCATCCATCCATTTTCTGAACACCCTTGTCCCTCAGTGGGGTCAGGAGGGGTGCTGGTGCCCATCTCCAGCTAACGTTCCGGGCGAGAGGCGGGGTACATCCTGGACAGGTCGCCAGTCTGTCGCAGGGCAACACAGACACACAACCATGCGCACACACACACACACCTAGGGGCAATTTAGACAGACCAATTAACCTAACAGTCATGTTTTTTGGACTGTGGGAGGAAACCGGANTACCTGGAGAAAACCCACCATGCACAGGGAGAACATGCAAACTCCATGCAGAAAGACCGGGGCCGGGAATCGAACCCAGAACCTTCTTGCTGCACGGCAACAGCGCAAAGACAAACAAACCATGATAACCCAGAATGCAATTATAATGAGAGAGCAGAGTTCCTGCTAATTACTCATGTTAATAGAGAGAGAGAAGGAGAGAAAGAATGGAAAAAAGAAACAAAAGACCAAACAAATTGACAGAAAGGAAGAAAGTAACAAACAATGAAGAAAGAATGAAGCGAGAGAGAGAAAGAAAAAGGGAGAAAGGAACAAAAATGAACAAAGAGAAAGAAAGAAACAAATGAACAGTTAGAGAGATAAACGAATGAACAAAGAGAAACGAACAAATGAACAGAGAAAGAAAAACAAATGAGGCAGAAAGAAAGAAAAGAACAAAAGAGAGAAAAAGGAAAACTAACTAGAGAAAGGAAGGACTGACGGAAGGATGGACATGCTAATAGAGGACTGGATGAACGGATGGATGGACAGACGGACGCTGACCAGCTCCAGAGGAAACCTGGTTCTCCTGATCCGACTCTGATTCTGAGAACTTTTCCCTGAACCGGTGGCCGACCTGCTTTGGGTCAGACGTCCTGCCTGCCTGATTTAAACCCTCCAACCTGCAGCTTTGTGTCTGAATGTTAGTGAGATTTCACCCCCTGTCTGTGAAATCACCCTGCAGCCTGCGGGGTGTTTACCTGCGTTGGTGTTGGTGCTGTTGGAGCCCTGCAGCAGCACCGTCAGAGTCTCCATCACCAGCCAGGCCAGCTGCTTCTGCTCCTCCGCTATCGGGTTGTTCTTACTGTCAGCTGAGCGCAGAAAGACAGAACAAGATGATAAAGACCATTAAATTGACTACACAGTCAGGGCATCACCTGGAAAGGTAAGAATTCATGTTAACATCAATAATTCATTGTTACTGTTAAAATTCACTCTTTGTTACGGGAGGCAGCTGTACCGCAAAAACACAAAATATTACCAAGTATTTTTGCTCTAGTTTCTACTGCAAATACACTTGAAATAAAAACAAAACTAACTTATAAGTAACTTTTCAGACAATAATTTCTTAATATTAATGAAAAAGTGCTAGTTCCACTGGCAAAATATTTACACTTTTTCCCATAAAATAATCTGCCAATGTAACTAGCAGTTTTTCATCAGTATTAAGGAGATGTTGACTAAAACGTTACTTACTAGTTAATTTTGTTTTATTTTAAGTGCAGTCAGATATTTTCACTAGAACTAGACCAAAATTCCTTGTTGAAGTTTTGTGTTTTTGCATTGTAATCTTTGCGGGTGAATTTTTCTCACCTTGGTCGTTGTTTTGCGGCTGCTGTTGCGGCGCCGGGTCTTTGAGCAAGGCGGCGTACTTGTGCAGCAGGTTGACCATGACTTCCAACAGGCCGACCTCCCGCAGCACGTCGCTGAACACGGGGTCGTGCCTGGCCAGCTTCAGCAGCGTTCTGACGGCGGTGATGCTGCAGGAGAGCGACGTGCTGGACTTCAGCAGCACACACACGCTGAAAAGCTCCTTACACGGCACGTAGTTCAGGCTGAACACCACGAACTCCAGCAGCTCAAAGTACTTGGTCTGGGCCTCAGGCAGCTTGGCCACGCGCTCGGCGAACTGCGACAGCGTGTGCTGCGACTCCAGGATGAAGTAGTTGGCCGGCTCGGCGGCGTAGATGTTCCCGATGGCGTCCAGCAGCATGCAGGCCAGGCGGCTGGTTTTGGCCCTCAGGAAGGCGTTCTGCAGCACCGAAAAGGCCTGGATGTTCCGAACTGTGTGACCTGAAGGAGACACAAGAACAACATATAAACAGAGATAAGAGCTGAGAAAAAAAATGTATCTGTTTGGGATAAAAATATTAACTGGGAGCAACAACGAGCAAACGCTGAAGTAAAGGACACGCCTCACTCAGAGAAACACACGAGTGATGATGGACACTCTCCATGATGTTACACAGAAAGACATGAAGGTTCAGAAGAACAAGAGAGTGAGAGAAAGAAAGAGGCAGAGAGAGAGTGAAAGAAAAAAATAAGGAAAGGAAGAAAGGAACCAAGAAAGAAAGAATAAAGACAGAACAAACCAATCAACAAAAAACAAACTAATTAAAACAAAAGAAAAAAACAAAGATTAAAAACAAAGAATGAACAGAAACAAAAAAGAATGATTAAGCAAAGAAAAGCAACAAAACTTAAAGAAAGAAAAAAACAGGAACTAAGGGAGGAAAGCAACAAAGAAAGAACAAAACAAAAACAATAAGAGAAAAAAAAAGAAGAAAACAAAGAATGAAAAAGGATAATCAAAAAAAGAAAGAAGCTAATCTACCACAGTGGTGGAAACAGACCGAATTCCACAGCACATCTACATGTTACTTTTGTCAAAGTCAAGCTAGCATGACTGAGCTGCATTCCTCTGCCTTGCTATATTTTTTCTTCATTAAAACTTTTTCATGAACTTATCTAGTTGTCATAGTAAAGAGTAACAAAGCATTGCGTCTCTTTTCTTTTATACATCACACATAGAAATTTAAATTTAGCGGGTTATTGATAATTTAACAGCTAGAACCAATGCTAGTCATGGTCAGCGAGCAGCTTTTGTCCTCCAGCAGGGAGACTGGGGGGAAATCTGGTGTGTGTGATTTCACGGTGTACAGGCTCCACTCTGGGGTTTGTTAATGCAAACATATAAAACTGATCAACTGTTGGGAATGAGAGTTTTATCCCTCATTTAAAAGCTCTGCAGAACCTGAAGCCTTTTCTGCGAAACGGACCAAAAACGCTCAGCAACTAAAGGTCAAGGGGAAGCAGTTCAGAGGTTCTCATTTGTATTCAGGATGTTTGGAGGGGCCGTCTCCAGCAGCGTGACGAGCAGCACAGCGTCTGTCAAACAGGTTCAGCTTCCTGGGATCAGCCAAGCATCAAAGTCATTTCCCAGATTAAGATCAGGCTGCGAGATAAGAGCAGGAGGGAAAAACAAAAAGACTTTTTCAAGTTTGGAGCTTTAAGCTAACTAAACAGTTGGCAAGTCTAACCCCCGTCTGCAAGAACATCTCTCCATTTAGACGAATGGAGCAGTTTCCATGATATCAAGCTTCTGCATGCAGAGCAGCTCTCCCCTGCAGCTTCCCCATCCAGCTCCTTCAGACTAGCCAGCAGCAATCAGCAAACACCTGGTGGAAGCGCTGAACTCATTTTAAGAGCCATTTCTCAGTGAAAGGCTGGTAAAAACCCTATTAAACAGTTAATAGAGGAGCCATGTTGTGATGACTTCCTGAAGGTGGAGTTTTTAAAGAGACAGAGGCCCAATTTCTAGGCGGTAATTACAAAGTTGTTCATTATTGACGTTATAACCAAAAACCAAAATTTGTCTATTGAAAAGGGCAGAATATTAAGAATATTTTGAAAGCTTTTCTGGTTCCAGCACCGTACCTTTCCCAGATGGTTGTGGGAGAACGAACCCTGGCAGCAGGAAGGGGGCGCCGGTGGTGAGGCCGGCGGGTTTCAGTTCCGTCACCCCGTACGTGCACAGACAGGTGACCAGGTTGACCAGATCCTTCAGCGCGTCTTTAGACTCATCCTCCTTAGCCTGTTCCAGTCTGGAAACAGGAAATAGTTTGCATTAGAGCAGACAATAGATCAGTAATATATATGGTGATAGATAATAGACATTAGATAATACATCTCAAATAAAAAAAAGAAAAGATAAGAAAACATGGCGCTCTCGGTTGTACCTGAGCATGAGGTCGCAGAGGAAGGCGTAACCCTGGCACATCCTGAAGTCGTCCAGCAGCGTCTGCGAAACGTCGCTGGAGTCTTTGAGGAAGCAGGAGAGGCCGGCGAACATCTCCACGATCTCCAGCGGGGAGAGGTCGTCCGACTGCTGCATGTTCTGGACACATGTGGACAGACATTCTTTCTCTGGAAAGACAAAAAAGAAGGAGGAGAAAACATGGAAGTTATTAAAACCATGACCTGGTCGCTTTCATCGTGGCTTTACAGGCTGGACAGGAACTCTCTGCTGGTTCCCACCGGCCTTCGTGTGGGAAAAGGTTAGGGTTTTCATGAAGGAAAAAAAAAGCTGGAAACGTCTGAATGTGGAAAGTTCAGCCCTGTCGACCTTTTCAAGGGATTCACTTTTATCCTACAGGCCTTTCGTCCCCGGAGGTCGCTAAAACTGGCTGTTTTTATCATGACTGTCACTTTTGGAGCAGAGAAAAACTTTATTAAACTAAACCAAAGTATTCAGTCTGACTTCTAGCTCTACTTTAATCACTAAAGGTTACCCATTAGAGCGAGATGTTTCAGGGTCTCCTGTCACTTTAAATCCCAAAACTCAACATTTACACTCAAACATGAAAATGCTGCAAACAGATGAGCAATTATACAACCGTACATTTTTGAAAAGAAGAAGTGGAGCCTCATGCACAACGAAAAAATGTCAATTTTGCTTAATAGGTCTCCTTTAATTCTTTTCAGATTTATAATAAACATTTTGGGCTTTAACATATTTTTCTGTGTATTCTATTCACGTTGTTCTATTATATTGATGCTGATTTATCTGGTTAATACTTACATTTTTGTGCACTTTTTTGCAAAGGACTTTGTTTTGACAACATCTTATAAAGTTTTACTGTAACAGTGCTGACACTGTGTAAACTGATAATCTTCCTACAACACACACGCTCCATTGGATCAAACATGAATGTCGTACCGTGGATGTATTTGACCACGTTGACGCTGAGTCCGTGTCGGGAGATGGTGGTGAGCACCTCGCCTGCGCTCCTCCTCCAGGGCAGGTTGTGAGGAGGGCACCAAGAGGTGATGGCACTGAACAGCAGCTGCAGGTCGTCCTTCTGGGCCAGCTCCTCCGCCGGAGACACAAAGGTGCACAGCTTCACCAGGATCTGTGGACATAAAATGGAGCAAAATGAAAATGAGCGTCTTTCATCATGCAGCTGGCATGAATGATTGGGTTAAAAGTCTACACCAGTCTTCACATACCTCACATTATTTTTCTATAATCAAAATAATTCACCATGTTTAGGATGCGTTCACACCCGTTATTTAATCTGGTTTGTTTGGGGATGTGTGAATACTAATCGAACTTTGATGTGGAACAAAAAAGCGAACTTTGGTCTTCATACAATCCTTGGTCTCAGTTTGGTTGAAGTGAACTTTGGTGCAGTTTGAAAGCATTTGTGAACACCAAGCAGACCAGAGACTGCTCCAAAAGCAGGAAGTGGACGACAGCGCAGGGCATTCTGGGTAAATGCAACCAAAAAAAACAAGAGTCTACTGCTAGCGTGAAAATGGCTTGTGTAGAGAAATCCTGCTTGTTTACATTTCAAGAAGGGAGTTGTGGTTGGTCAGTGTCTTCTTCAGGGGTTTTGTGTTGTTTCTTTCAATGCTCCTTGGTGCAGCACATCCAGGTTTTTTAAAGGCTTTTGTTCATTTTAAGCAGTGCAGTGTGAAAGAGAACTGCAGTAGCTGAAAATATAACAAATGTTGCCATTTTGGTCCTCAATTGAACCGAGTCTACCAGACTATAAACTAACTTATGGGGGCGCTGCACCAAGAACCAGTGAAGGAAACGACAGAAAACTGGCTGAAAAAAACCCTGAGCGCAACTTCATTCTTCTTGAAATGTAAATAAGACTGGACTGGTTTCAGATTTAAGCAGTGGCAGGATTTATCTTTGGTTCATGAGCTATTTATCCTGTTAGCGCTAGCCTTGTGTGTTATTTTGGTTCTGTTTACCCAGAATGCCCTACACTGTAGTAGTCAGTTTGGCGTTTACATTTGATCTGCACCAGAATTCACTTCAATCAAACTGAGACAGAGGTTTGTCGGTGTAGGTTTGGTCTGTATCAGTTTGATAGCGCATTCACATCTCCCCAAACAAACCGGACTTTCAAGATAAGCAGACTGGAGCTGGACTCAAGCGGACTAAATGTGGCTGGTGTAAAGCTGAAAGAACCATTTATTTTTTCCACCTGGACAAAGACTTTCTGGAGCAGCGCTCGGCGGTCGGCCAGCGGCAGCTCCGGCTGAGTGTGGGCCTGGCTCGGAGTCTTCTCCTGGTTGGGTGGGGGTTGTGGCGGCTGTGGGGTGGGGCCCGCTGGGGCTTCGGCCATATGGGGCAGGTCAAAGAACAGGTAGAGGCATTTCACCAGGGTGGAGGGTACGGACATGGTTGTCATGCAGTCCACTGTTTTCTGTTGGGGACAGACGAAGGACAGAGATGAAGTGAATGTTAATTAAAAAAGGAAAGCGGCTCCTAAATCAGAGCTGAGTGGTTAATGTGGAGCCAGAACTGTGTTTGGGTTAAGATTTCCCATTTAGGTAATTTCAGAAAAATAAAACTGTTCTCATTCCAACACTTTGTCAAAAATGTCAAAACAAAAGCATGTTACATTTTAAAAAACAATTTGTTACATTTTACAAGTCAATAGTTCTGAAATATAAAGATAAAATTTCTGAAATGTTCTCCTTTATGTTAGTTTCTTTTACTTGAATCAGAATGGTAAGAGAACAATTTTGCATGTCATTTCCTTTAAACGTGAGAGCTCACTATTGTTTTGGAAATCAATTCTGACAATCTGGCAGTAAAAAAGCCTTTTTATACAATATTAAATATACATTAAAATGTGCAAGTAAATAATTAAATATTTTTTAAATAAGAAAATAAACATTTTATTGCCTAAAATACAACACCATTAGCTGGTGAAGTTAATCCTAGGTCACTTGAGGAGTTTTGGCTAAAACATATTTACAGACTAAGATGTTTTCTTTTATGTTTTTTGTACAATTTTGGCTTAATTATTGCTCTGAATATATTGTTAATTTCACCAAATGGCCTTTATATACACCAGTTAACAATTAATCAATTAGTTGACAATTATTTCAGTAATCGATTCATCACGATTAATCTGATTAATCATATCAGTCCTACTTTAAACTTCAACATTAGCTTTTAATTTTTTCACCACATACACAAAATAACTTAGTATTTACAAAAATAAACATATAATCAAATTTAATTCAGTATATTTATATAGTTTATTTATTCTATTTATTCTCACAAAAAATGTTGTCTCAAGGCACTTTCTAAAAAAAAATTTTCAATTCAATTACTTCCTGCTATGCAGCATCGTGCTGTTTGATGCTGTTTATTGGAACAAAATAAAAGTTTATCACAGCAAAATATGAGAAGAAAATTATTTAAAACTGACCAGTAATGAGTTTCCACACTAAAGCAGGAGGCTGCTAAAAATAAAGACTAAAACATTTTTATTTTTAGCGTGACGCTGATAAATTGTTATTTGGTTGTGGATTCTTGGCCGAGTTGCTGTGAAGAAAACAAAAGCGAGAGCGGCCATGATGGCCTGAAGTGTGTGTTTCAATGTGTGCACTTTACAGTTGGTGTTATGATGGCGAACCAGAGAGCTGTGCTCACTCCGGCGAATGATTCAGATAATGAAACAGCCTCCCACACACCTACTGAAAATAAAGCTCACAGTGACTAAATCACTTTCTAATTTATGATAATTATCACACATACAGAGACAAATAAAGGCGGAGAGAAATGACCGCAGTATTTACTCCACCGCTCTGAAACGCGCCGTTTCTGATCGATGAAGGAGAGCGGGAGGGAGAAGAAAAATGGAGGAATAAAGCAACGATTGGTGAAGGAGAGTCAGGATAACGGAGGAATGGATCCTCACCTTTAACAGGTGAAATGTGTGTGTGTTTACAGGCTGAAACAGAAAGATCGACGGCTGCTGCATCCCGAAAAGTCACGGTAAACGCCTCGCAGACGTTATTCAAAGTGTGAGTAAAAGTGACACAAGGAGGCTGTGGAGGAAATATGGCAGAAGCGTCGCGCCATGTCAAGAGGAACAGACACAAAGAGGCTGAGCTCTGTCTGAACGGCATCCTATTAAAACAGGCAAAGCGAAAAATACAGCAGGGGCTTGTAAAAGGAAGCAAGGTGACTTCAGGTTTACAGAGGCTGGGAGAGGCTTGGTGTCTGTCAGAGACACAAAGAAAGACAAAGACTGTCTCCACCTGAAATACTAAGGATGCAAGTTAACGATTAGTTTTCCAGGCACATGGTGGCATTTTAAACGAGATTTAAGTCACTATTTTACCGTCGGTTATTATGGAACTACTACCAAATATGACGTAAAATAAATTTGACTTTGTAATTTAATGCTGTTAACTTGGGCCTCTGACTCTTTAAAAACTCCTCCGCTTCCAAAAAGTCATCACAACAAAGCTCCTCTATTAACCCTTTAAAAACATTTTTACCAACGGTTCACTGACAAGGTGTTTGCTAATTGCTGCTGGCTAGTCTGAAGGAGCCAACGGGAGAGGGGGAGGATAACATCATAACATGACGTAAAGCTCAAAAACGTTGATTTTACATGATACTTCCCCTTTAAAAAGCTTAGAACAAATTTCCAGAAAAATGCAAAACAACTGAAACACGAGTTCAAAAGCAACTCATTTTGCTTTATGGACCATGAACCATAATAAATGAAATACTGACCAACATATTTGATGTGGATGACTTTGGTGATGCACTCATCAAAATATAATGTCTGTTCAGTTGTTGACTGTATGGTGTTTTCTTCAAAATTTAGTAATTTTATGAATTCAAGGCTCAATTAAATAAACTTGATTGACTGAATTTGACTGATAGCTTATCAAACCAGTTAACCGTCTTTGTATAACATGAAGTGCTAAATTTAATATTTCAATATTCGATTAATAACAATTAATACAAATAATCATCTCAGTCTTATAAGAAAATATAAAAAAATGTCAAAAATATTCTCTGTCATTATTCTGGTGTTTAACATAAGCAATTAGTTTTGGTACCATAACTGACCAAAAACAGTAATGGTTTAGACTAAACTAAGATCCTGATAAAAAAAACATGGAAAATTTGCAGTTCAACGCATGAAAATTTCAAAACCGTATCAATACTTTGGTGGGCAGTGGCACATTGAACCTTCCTGCAATAAGAGGACAGTCTGCAGATGTTCTGATGGATTTGGCTCAGCGGTGTCTTTACTGACCTGTCCAGAGGAGGCCAGCAGGTTGATGGTGGTCAGCAGCATCCAGCCTCGACTCGCTTCCTCGCTCTGGTTCACCTCCAGGAATTGGACTATGGCTCGACTGGCAGCTTCTGCAGGAGGAAGCACACGGCCGTGCGGTCAAACAGATGGATGGTGACGGCACACTGTTGCAGGCAGATGGCCGCCGGAACAATGAGCAGACACCAAGTGGATAAATCATCATGGAGGCCGTGACGTGGGAAAGAGCACACATGAGGCTCCTTGGTTTGTCCAACCAAAACTGTCGCCAGTGAACTCTCTTCAGACATTCAGGCTAAAATCCAGGAGCCAAACTTAAGCTCCTCACTGTTTAGGCCAGAAAAAAACATCAGATGACGACGAGAGCTGCTGACTCATGTGACATCACGACTCAACTCGTGACTCAGGCTACAAAGACCAGCTGGAGAAATTATAAATGTTCCCTGCTTGCAGAGAAAAGGACTGCAAAGAATCTGTAACTAACTTTGCAGGAAAACACCAGTTTGGATCACCGCTTCCTGAAACCAACCCCAACAGGAGGTTGGGGTTGGTTTCTCCTGTTCATTATTCTTCACCCAATCGATTTATTAGTAATCACAATACTTTGACCTTTATGAATTAAAAGTTTAACTAAAATGTGAAAAAAACTAAAACTACTAATATAACTAATGAGAACTAAACTGAAACTAACCGATTTTTAACTAGTAAATACTCTCTAAAAACTACTTATAACTAATGAATTACACAAAAAGTCACAACAAACTAAAACTAAGCTATAATGAAAAACTCAACAACCTTAACCCTGTCAAAAAGCTTCTTCAGTCAGAAAAAGAACTGGATTTGTATGATTAATCTGCATAAAGTAACTGCATTAACAGTAAAATTAACAATTCCAACAGTTTAGGACGGTGTTAAACATCTTTAATTGCAATTTATTGTAGCAATGATAATGAAAGTTCTTAAAGATGATAAATGCCCAGCTCACCTGTGGATTTGTTGGAGGCTCTGCGTCTGATCTCAGTCACCATGAGTCGGGACACCTGGGTGGTGAACTGCAGCAGGTCAGAGAACTTCTCCATCATGCTGCTGGGCGGAGCATTGCCAAAAACCTGCAGACAAAACAGAGCAGATTTTCTTTAGCTGCTTAAAGTTAAAGTAAGGAACAGATATGATCATTTCTGACCTTTAGTAATTCACAGATTCCTCACATTTACAGCTTAAGGAACAGACAAATGTGTGTTAGAAAACATAAAGGCGTATATTTTTGCTTTGTTCTGAAGATAAAACTGCACTGCTGTGAACAAAGCCTCCTCCTCCTGTGTTTGTGTCTCCAGTAAATCTGACAGAAAAGTGGGCCTGCTGCACAGGGAGTGCTTCTGAAATCTGACATTAAATTACGCCACCAGTGTCTGAATCGCTGCCAATGCTGGATAATTAGCTGACAAGTCTTAGTGTTGCTCTTCAGTCTGTCGAGGACACTCAACCAGGCTGCATGCAGAACAAAAATGGAGGATTGTTTTATAACTACAGCAGGCAGGAGAGTTGGAAAAGCAGCCATCATTATGTTCACAGTTTTTATATGGAAAAAACACAAATTTAAACCTCTACTGGCTCACTGTGGTACAGCAGGCAAAAAAATACAAACATACTGCTAATGCCAAGCACCTGGTGTTGTTCTGTAGTTCTGGCCCAGCTTTCTGTATTATTTAAAGTCAAAACTGCTGCCATGTTTTTCTATTCTTATTTATGAATTTTGACATGTAGCTTGACATATAAGTCTCAACAGATACAAGTGATATTTAAAAAAATACAAATCAGAAACTTTAAGTCAACATCAGTTTATAGGCATGTCACAATAAGCAATAAATCAATTTATCACAATTAAAATCAGATCAGTAATTTCCATTCGCGTGATTTAGTTTTTCTCTTGTAAAAGAAAAGGACAAAAAAAAATTTTACTCTTGCAAATGTGTCAAATATTCACAATACAATACACTCACAGCTTAAGAAAGTTAATTGATTCTTTGTAAATCATAATAAAAACAGGTGGTATGTTCTGAAAATAAAGTGGACCTTTAATTTATAGCTGAACTTTGCTGATACTGCAGACGCAAATGTAATTTACTGGTTTATTTTGGTAGAAACAGGAAGGTGTTCTGACTGCTCTCCTTCCGAAGAACAGATGTAACAGAGATGATGGGTATTGATCCGCCTCGGTTTGGGCCTCTTGGAGCGACTTACCCGGTTAAACACAGGAAGCATCATGTAGAGCTTCTCCTCCTGCTCCTTCTGGGTCATGTGACGAGGCGGGTGGCACAGCTCGGAGAAGAGGCGCCGCAGGTGCATCAGGCCGAGCGCGTTGTCCTGCGGGCTGCACTCCTCCTGCCGCGGCCGCCCCATGATCCGTTTCACCATGTTCATCTTGAGCGGCTTTGTCAGGGCAAAGGCAGCCCTGAAAGAAAACCGATTTAAATCAGAGGCAGTGATTTACACTTGGGCTAATGTGACAAATCTATCATGAAAGCATCAAACTTTTGCAAGTCAAAACAAGAAAAACTGAAAAACAACAATTGCCACAGCTGGTCATGCAAGCAGAAACACAATTAACCCCGATTTTGTTCTTTAGATGACAAAAGCTGCAACAAGATGGAAATAATAATTTATCAATATCGGCCCAATACTGTTAAAAAAAAAAAAAAAAAAGATTAACGTCGACCAATACCGATGTTAATAAAGATACATCTGCATGTCTACGTTAAACTATATCCTCTTAGGCAACAATGTTTCATTTGCTAAGAATCTAAAAACTCTGAAGAAAGTACAAAATGTGAAACAAATGTTTTTTTTATTTTGGAGATTATGTTGTAGGGCTGGACGAGATAAATGTTTCTTATCAGTCGATATCAATAATTATTGATTCATCTTTTGTTTAAAGTATCTGAAATATTACCAAACTGGTGGCATGACATTTCCAGTTTTATCCACAGTTTTTACTCCAGTTTTTATTTTTCAGCAGTTATGAGGCACACTGACATGAAATTGCTGCTGTGCAAGTTACTCAACAAGTTGTTGCTAGGTAACCAAAGAGTGAGTGAGTGAGTTGATGCCTACATCCCCCAGGATGCTGTGCGGTTCTGGATTGGATCTAGTGAACATTCTATATATTGAATAGTCTATCTGTTGTATGATCTATTGCTAATTAAATTCACTCCAGTGTTAATCCATTTCATATTGGAAAAATGTATAAACAGTTGTAATAACCATTCCTGGCCTATAGGGGGTGACATGTCTGCAATAAATATATCACTACATAAAAGAAGAATGTAGTCTGCATGTCTCCGCTTATTTTGATCATATACAATTCTGTTAGTTTATTCAAATCAAAACAAAAATAATTTAATAACACCTTTTGTGGTTTACGACAGCAACAAACATGTCATAAAAAATAGCTTATTACCCAAAAATAAACATGTTATTATTATGCAAGATGACTGTAGAGCACTGTGACTGTCAGTTTATGGTCTGTTTTTTTCTGACAGAACAGGGACAGGTAAACAAACATTGCTGTTCTTAATTTTGAGCTCTTGTTCCCTAGAGAATGGTTGAGAATCAGTACATTTAGCCATTTGTTCCACTTGCCAGCGTCTCTCAAGACTATTTGAGCTGGTTGCTAGGAGACACTCGTTGAGCCTAAATAGAGCACATAAACATCCAATAATAAAACCAGAAACAGCAGAATTATAATGCAAGGAAATGAAGGAAGAGTTTAACCTTGAAAAATATATTTTCCTCTTCATATTCCCACTCTTTCATCATGTTATTTTGAAGGAAAAAAATGCTTTTACTGGCATCATAATCAAGGTAATGAAAACTGGAAAATGAAGCTTTTCTGCTTTAGATTGATGAGCAGTCCTTATAACCATCTCCACTCAGGTTCCCAGAGGATTTTATTTAATCATTTTTAAATCTTTAACTGTCTGGCTTCTCTGTTTTGCATTCAATGAAAGCAGAGACAAGATATGTAAAGAAAAATACTTACTGTTGTACCCTATATATATATATATATATATATATATATATATATATAT